ATTTGCTGTGGAGAGGCAGCTTCCTGGAGCACCCAGAGGCCACCAGGCTGCATAGCGACTGCCCACCACGTGCTGCCTCCTGCACCCAGCAGGCTCCTGAGCCCTGCAGCTCCCAGAGGGCAGGTTGGCAGGAAGCCAGCCTGCGGAGGGGAGAGGGCAGGGGAGGCCAGTGGGCCAGAGGGGAGTGGGGGCTGGGGAGTCTGCCCAAGGGGTTGAAGGCCAGAGAAGGGCCAGAGAGAGGTCAAGGGCAGAAGGAGGAGTGAAGACTAAGAGAAGGAGGGACAGGGCCCAGTCTAGGTTGGGTGGGCCGGCTGTGGAGGCAGCAGGTCCTGTGGGCTCCAAGGAAGGACAGGTCCACTGGTGGGAGTGGGGAGCCTGGCTGGCTGAGGTGGACAAGCAGGAAGAGGGTCAGGTCAGAGGGCCTGGAGGGGAAGGAAAGCAGGAGGGGAGCAGCACGGGGGGGGGGGGGGGGGGGGGGCCCCTGGGCAGCTGGATGAAAGCAGATCATTGTTTCTTCCTCATTGCCAATGGCCAGAGTAAGAGTGGGACCTGGTGACGCCAACATCCAGGTCCATCTGCTTCTGTTCCCTTGGGATTTGTCCTTGTGACCAAGTAGAGAATGAGACAGAGACGCAGGCAGGCAGACAGACAGACAGGGAGACAAGGAGAAGTCTGGTCTGCAGCACAGCTGTGCCCAGCGTACAGGTGTGGAAGCCGGAGGTGCTGAGGGAGGCTGTGCTTGGGCCACATCTGGTGTCCTTGGTGGCAGGAGACCTGGGGATGAGTTCCTGTGTCGGGACACGGGTCAGAAACTAAGTGCGGTTGAGGCCTCCGGCAGAGGCAGCGGGGCAGCGGGCAAAGGCAGGACCTGCCAGACACGTGGGGCCGCAGCAGAGACGGTCTTGTAATTCACACCACCTTTGGTTCGGAGCTTGGGGGTGTTTCATCAAGAGGCCTCCGTGTTTCATCTTATAAATATTCATACCCACGTTCTCTTCATTTAGAAGTGTAGATCCAATGATTTTAATGAACACTGAAAACTTTCCCTTCCATCATAGCTTTCCCTTCATGTAACATTATGTGCATTATGTAACAGAATTTAATGTACCTTCTCTGTAATTTTAAAATTATATAATACATGAATCAAGACTTCTGGTCACCTTAGAACAATATCCATCTAATTTGGGAGAGGTTTTCTACCTTCAAGTGAAAGCATTTTTATTTTTGTGACATCCTTTAACATTTTCTCTGCCCTTGGGATACCCCGTAAAGGCAGTGATAACCTGAGGGAGCAGTTCCCCTGGTGATGGGTGGTCAGGCTACAGAGGAGGAGGATGTTTCCACGCAGCAGGGGCCCCTTGCCAGGTCCTGGTTGGATTCAGACAGTGGCTGGACTTTAGGACAGAGATGGGGCCTGATGCTGGGAATCTGGGGTTCTCCGTGAGGCTGGAGGTGAAGGTGTCTTTGGATGGTGGGAGCTGGAGCAGGGTCCTTGAGATGGGGAGTCACCCGGGGTAGGACTGAGGCTGGGGTGAGGCTGGTCTGTCACCAGGGAAAGGACACTGGTGCCCTAAGACCAGTTCCAGTGGATGTCTTTGCCCTGAAGCACAGTCCGTGGGCTCAGCGGCCTGAGGTTGGCAAGGAGGAGGACTGGAGGACTGGCCTGCACTGTGAGGGCCGGCAGCTCATTCACAGTGTGGAGGGAAGGCTAGAAGGAGAGGAGAGGGGACCCTGGGGACAGAGGGACTCCTCTATGAGCTGGGGAGGATGGGGGAGTGGAAGGTTGCACGTGAGGCGGAAGGTGGAGGGGAGTCCTCCGGGACATGGAAGGGTGTGTCGGCACCCGAGGCCCTAGCATCAGGGAGATGTGGTTTGGGTTGCTGCTCAAATCTTTCTTTGATTTAAAAAAAAAAAAAATGACACCTAATAATTGTGCAAATTTATGAGGTGTGATGTGAAGTTTTGACACATGTGTACCTTGTTAATGATCAAATCAGGATAATTATCACATTCATCACCTCCAACGGCCATTGATTCTTCGTGGTGAAATACTTAAAGATCCTCTCTGTGGCTATTTTGAAGTACCCAGCAGGCTGGGCTGTGGCTCAGTGGTGGGGCTTTGCATGCTCAAATTCAAAGCCCTGGATTCAATCCCCAGCACTAAAAAAATAACAATTAAGCTCCAAGCATGAGTGCTGACTGCGGTCACCCCAGTGTGCCCCGGACCCCAGAACTCACTTCTCCTGTCCACCGTAACTTGCCGGCCTCCCTATCCCTGGTGGCCATGCTCTACTCTTTGCTTCCTCGGTTGGCTTAGCCACAGGATGGAGAGCGTGTGACGTCAGTCTTCTCACTGCGCAGGGTCCCCCAAGTTCCGCGCAGGTTGTGGTGGACAGCCGGATCTCATTCTGAAGGTTGAATGGTGTGGCCCTGTGCCTAAGCATAAAATTTTCCCATTGTCTCATCTGCTCTGGATGCTTATGGATTCTGTGTTCTGACTACTAGGAACAGTGCTGTCATGGACAGGGAGTGCAGGTGTCCCTGTGCCACTCAACTCCTTTCTTCTGGGTACAAACCCAGCAGGTGTGCTCAGCCTCTTCTCTGTAAACAAGGCTGTAGAGTGTGCACCTCCTTGGAGCTGAGGGGGATGAACTGATTTTATTTGTAACATAGCCCACTGACTAACCCTTAGGACACACAACGTAGCAGGTGCAGGGTGCTTAGTGACATCTCCTTGAACAGCTGGGGTGACTAGGGGTGGACACCAAGACTGAGCCAAGTGTGGGGAAGATATTTGATGACATTAAAGGGCAGAGTTGGAGGGGGCTCTATATCTGGGATAGGGAGTGGGTGCTGAAATGTGTTCCTGGGGCATTGGCAGGGTCTCCCCTGTAGCCCTGAACTGTTGGGTTCTTGCTATTGAAGAAGAATTTTTATCCTGTACCTCAAGATTTTAAAAAAAGTCATCTGCATGCAGGCCTGTAATCCCAGTGACTTGGGAGGATCATAAGCTTGAGGCCAGCCTCAGCAATTTAGGAAGGCCCTCAGCGACTTAGGGAAGACCTCAGCAGCAAAAGGCTGGGAATATAACTTAGTGGTAAAGTATCCCTGGGTTAAATACCCAGTACTACTACTACTACTACTACTACTACTAATAATAATAATAAAAATAAAAGATTTTCAGGAAGGAAGTTAAAAAATACCATAGTTAGAATAAGTGTGGAGGGTTGACAATATTCTCATTATTAAAGAGCTACAAGATAATTCATGGGAACAAAAGGACAGGAATTTTATCAGAATTAACAATTTCCATGGAGCAAAACAAAGAGGCAAAGTATGAATGTAGGGGATGTAGGGGAGTGTGGGTAGGGATGGAGAGGGAGAAAATGCTCACAATAAATAAGAACAGAAATCTAACAGCAGGAGTGCAAAAGAGCATGGAGCCCCGGGCCGTGTGTGGGCAAGGGAAATGGTACAGTTTTAGGCAACAGGAAACATGAGGAGAAAATACTCATTTCAAAAGTGTCCACCACCTGCTCACTCCACGCCCACGTAGCCCCAAGAAATAAATAAAGGAGAGTAACTCTGTAGCTGTGACCTCACCTGGTGTCAAGGAGAAGGCAGAGGTGGCACTGAGATGGGAAGAAGCCCTTGTCCCTTGACCCCTGGCTGACGAGACCCAAGAGCTCTGGTTGGCAGGTGGGAGTGAAGGGAAGACCAGGAGACCCCAGGACGGCTCATCTCAGGACCCTGCCCCGCTGAGAGTCAGACCTCAAAAGGGCCCGGGGGGAAGCTGGACATCAGGAAGCCAGTGGTGTTCACACAGGAGCACTTCCTTAGAGTCCACAGGCTGTCCAGAGCCTCCACACATGGGGTGCGGTGGAGGAAGCCAAGGAAAATGGGGGCTTCCCTCTGAGCAGCAGTCCTGCTCACATAAAACAGGATTCTTTCCTACCCAAGTTCGGCAGGGTCCATTTTTCTAAATGTCCATTTTTTCCAGAATATTCGTGGTGAAGGGTCCCTCTGGATGCTGTGGATTTTGGAGTCAAGATAACCAGTGGGCTTAAAGAGCACATTTGTTAGACGTCTGCGTGTTCAGGGGGCTCCAGTGCCATCAGGAACCTGAGCAGCCACAGCAGGATGGCTGCAGGGAGGAGCTGAGAGGCTCTAGACTCAGCCAGAATCGCGACAGGAGCAGGAGGCAAGCTGAGAAGCCTGAGCACCTCCAACTTCCTCCTCTGACCTCACGTTGCATTTCCAGGAAAATCTGGGTGGAGGGGGCACATTCTAAATGGCTGCTGGCCCCTGCCTGAACATGTCTGGGCCTTGATGTAGGTGGGTTCCCGTGCGTCCACTTTCAGGAAGGCTGGACATCTTGAGGGCTGTCAGTGGCTCTTGGGATCCAGCTGTCTTTGTGGGCGACCAGTGGGTAGGGTGGGGGACTCTGCCAGGGCTCTAGGAACAGGCCTGCCTTGTGCTCCTGGATGACTGACTGGCCGAGGGAGTCATTCAGCCTCAGGTGGAGCTTGGGGACAGAAGTGTGGCAGAGCCTGGAGGTTTGGAGCAGAGGCTGACGCGGGCATCTGAGTTGCTCGGCCCACCTTCTTCTCCTTGCCGTCCCTTCCTCAGTTTCCCTTGCCCTCCCCTCTTTTGAGGGCGCCTCTTGTGGTTGGGACCCTGCTGTCCTCATGTAAGAGGGTTCCATTATTGCTCCTTTTCCTTTGTCACACAGATCTTTAAGGGAGACAATGGCAGGCAGTCGATGGGATCGACTCCCCTGCTGGGTACCAGGCCCTTGCTGGGTGCCTGACCCCTGTCACCCTGATGACTCCTCAGTGCTTTTGAGATAGATACTGCCGTCTGTCTTGACCACTGCTGGCCACATGGTAGATAATCAACAACTGCTTGAACCCATGACCCCAATTTGCAAATGAGGAAGTGGTCTCCGAGAAGTTAGGCAACCCTCCCCAGTTACAGGGGGGAGTGGCCACTCCAGGCCTGCTGGGCTGTCTTTGGAGTCAGGCTGCCTCAGATGACCCAGAGGCCCTTTTCTCAAGACACCCCTTCCTGTCCTGATCCCTTTTGGCTGTGGCTGTTGCCCTCACCCCACCCTGCTGCCTCCTGCACCCAGTCCCGATCCTGAGCTGCCCCCGTGCACTGTAGCTGATCCTGGATGAGAGAAGAATGTCAGGATTTCTCCTTTGCAGGACTACTTCTGGGGCAACGTTCCTGTCCAGTGCACGTGTTCCTGGGGGCCCTGAGCAGCCTCTCTTCCTGTCTGGCCGGTCTCTTGCCATTCCTTATGCATCTTGGCCTTGGGCTGCGCAGAGGGACCTTGGGCCCCCAGGATGCCAAACCCCTCCTGCTGCGTTGGGCTGTTCTCTGTGCCTCTGCCCTTGCCCGCTGATCACCTGCCTGTCAAGGGGGGCCCGGGGCCAGCTTCTCCCCCTGCGGTTCCTCCTGGGCAAATCTCCTTCTCTGGAGGGGGTGCTCCAGGAGGGCAGGGCTGGCCCTTTGATGGTGAATGGAACCAGCGTCAGGAGAGGATGTGGTGAGTCCCCAGGTATGGCGGAGCTGCTTTTGGGCCGGCACAGTCACAAGGGCTTGTTTCCTGCCCTAGAAGGAGTGGGAACCTGGAGCTCTCTCGCTGCCCTGCCTGGAGAAGTCAGAGGTATGTGCTCGATGTCACCCTTCTAGGGTCCCCGTCTGGAAGGCGGTGGGAACCACACCAGGCTCCCAAGGCCTCTAGTTTGTCCTCTACGGTAATGGAGTAGGCAGAACAAGGGTGTCAGTTCCAGGAGGCTCAGAGAAACCTTCTGAGAAACTTCTTACTTATGACTCCTGGGGCTGTGGTGGGGGGCGGGGAGCTGTACAAACAGCAGGTGTGTAACTTCGGGAGGCTGCCTGAGCCCCAGAGCTCGAACTCCCCTGTTCCGTGAAGAGTCTGGCTGCCCCCGAGGAGTGCGACCCTCTGTCTCTGGAGCACACAGGGAGCTGGACTGAGGGGAGCGGGGTCAGAGATCTTTTACCAAACTTTACATATGTCTTTGAATCCTGCGCATGTATTCAAATATTTAAATAACAAGCAACGTCATTAAGACAAGAGAAATATTCATTCTAAAAAAGAAGGTAGCTGGACATGTGGGCAACACGCCTCTAATCCCAGGGACTCAGGAGGCTGAGGCAGGAGGATCACAAATTTGGGGCAACTTAGCAAGACCTTGTTTCAAAAATAAGTAAATAAACAAAAAGGGCTGGGGGGTGTGGCCCAGTGGTTAAGCACCCTTGAGTTCCATCTCCAGGACAAAAAAAAAAGAAGGTGGCCAGAGCAGGAGGTCAGCAAGGCCCTCTTTGAAGGGGCTGAGCTGGGACATGCCTCTCTGCAGGCCATTCACTGTGGACCCCTCCTGGAGTCCCCACACCACAGGCTCTGGGTATCAAGGTGGCATCTGACATCTTGTCACCTCCCTGCTGCTACCGTGACAGGCTTCTGGTTTCCTCGCCCCAGGATACTCAGACCTGTCTGCCCTCCCTTGCCTGGTAGCTGGCCTTTGGCTAGGGACACTGGGAGCCTACTTGGACTGTCCAGTGGCCCGTCTTGGCACCCAGGGACCATCACACCAGCGGTCAGAATCTGAGACAGGGAAGGCCAACATGGCTGTCACAGTTCTGCTAACCTCTTCACGGAACAAGGGGATTTCGAGCTCTGGAGGGTCAGGCAGCTTCCCGAAGCGACACACGAATTGCTGCTTCTACAGGGAAGACCTGTGTGCTGGGATGAATCACCCAGACCACCCCGGGCAGTTTCTATTCCTGCAGACACCTGAGAGTCACAGTGTGCAAGGCTCGTGAGACAGCCTGTGCCTCTGTATTCTGAGGCCGACTCCTGGCACTTCCTGGACTTGGGAGCTTTATCTGCCAGACGGCGTTTCAGCCCAGACGTTCCTAACTGCCTGGAATCTTCTAGGGGTCCCTGTTGAGAGCCACCTACTGTTCACAGGCCAGTCTCAGTTTTCTCAACCCTGAAGATCAGAGGCACCAGGGAAATCTCCTTGTAGTCACGTCTGTGGGGGCCGAGGCAGCCCTGGCCCGGGCCACCTAGACTTTCCAGCACAAATGTCCTATATGAAGGTGTCCGACACCACTGTCCTTTCTGTGGGTGGCAATTCCTCATCCTAAACCCAGAAGTGCTGGGTATCATGGCAACATTTCCCAGCTGCTGGTGGTCCCCGCCTGACCCCCTCTTGGAATGACAGGTGTTGTGAGACTGCTTCCTCTTCCAAAGACTTCCCAGGTCTGCACACACACACACACACACACACACACTCCTTCTTGGCTTTTATTTTTTTGGAAGCTAGGTGGGTGTGCAGTCCCTCCATGAGAACACAGGAGTGTAGACTCTCTTCCTGGAAGCATGCTCCCTATGAGCGACACTCTTGACCGGCTCAGGGCAGGGACCCCCACCTAGCCCTTCTTTAGCCCCCCCCCCCGCCCCCGAGGAAAAGCCCCTCCGCCAGACTGGCTGAGCTGGAGCCACTTGGAGCCCTTGGCCCCACCTCCTCCTCTCAGCCCCCGAGGAAGTTCAGACCCAGAGAGGGGAAGTGGCTCTGCCCAGAGCAGACAGGTAGCGGGGCCTGGAGGAGAAATGACACCTCGTAGCTCATTCAGATACACTGGACCACCCACAGGTAACAGCCTCTGGGCCACTGGGGAAACTGAGGCACGGCGCCTCTGACCTGACCTTGCTCTCGTGGACCGTAGGAGACTTTCCGGGGGTCAGTGGGGCTTTGGGGGCCGATGCTCGGTCCATACTTGCACTGGCTCAGTGGGCAAGGTGGCAGGACCATGGCAGCCCTCAGGCATACTCCACGACAGCAGAAGCAGTAGGCAAACCTGGTTTGTCCCCGATAATGGGTGACATTTTCCTACGAACCCTCAACTTCCTCCTGATCTGAGTCAGGGTTTCAGCCTCTCATTGAGGTGAGGACATCTCCATGCAGGCAGCCCAGGAGCCTTCCCCAACAGGCAGGGCTTGCGTGACAGCCCCTCCCTGGGCCGGCTGCCAGTTCCCTGGTGTCTTGTTGGGAAATCACCCAGTGCCTGAGCTCTCGTATTCTTAGGAATCCTCCTCCTACCCCTGAGAAAGGTGCTTGTGGCATACCAGGGACCCATGTGAGAGCCCAGCACCTGCCACATACCAGTTGTGTCATTTCTCTAGCCTCAGTTTACCTTTCAAGGAATGGGACAATACCAGTTTCTTCCTCATAGGGCTCTTGAGCAAAGTAAATGATTGGGTCTGCTTGTCCCCCATAAACACCTGGTCAGCTCTGGCTACTATCATACAACTGGGTTTTATTATTATTATTATTATTATCATCATTTTTTACTGTGCTGGGGATTGAACCCAGGGCCTCAGGCATACTAGGTAAGTGCTCTACCACTGGGCTACGTTCCCAGCCTTAACTGGCTTGTTCTTAGACCCTAATTTTGAAGAGGCTGGGAGGCAAGAAATATAGAAGCATTTAGAACCATGAAAGTTCTGGATTCTTCCCTGAGCATGAGATCACCCTGGACTATCCTAGGCTGGGCTTTGTGCTGCTCAAGCTGCACAGGGGTGTGCAAAGTGCTCCCCACAGCACCATGGGAGGCTCAGCTCTGCTCAGGGTCTAAGCGTCTGTCCCTGGAGCTGCAGCCAACAGGCCCTCCCTCCCTCCCTCCCTCCCTCCCTCCCTCCTTCCCTTCCTTCTTCCCTTATTCATTTTCTCTTTCACCCAGTAAGACCTACCAAGGACCAATTTTCAAGACACTTGATATAAAGGGGAAGGAGCCACGCACGGTTCATGTCCTGGGTTGCTACTGGAGAGCGGGGACACACCCTGTAGTACACAGATGACTCCCAGTGGTTCCCACTTGGCCACAGTGGGTAAACCATGTGGGATGATGTGGGTGGATCAGAGTGTGGGTATTGGAAGGAAGGGGTGGGATTTTTAGCAGTGGAGGAGAGTCCAAGGGAACGAGGAGTAGGTGAGGTGCAGCCAGGCATGCTCCAGGCTGCCTGGAGCTCCTGGACAAACAGGGTGCTCTTGCTGGTGATGTTGGTGGGGGGCCAGCGTGGGGGCCGAGGAATGAGAGACTTGAATGTGAGTTCTAGCTGGTCCCTCTCTGTTTGTTTGACCTTGGGTGGATTCTTGAACATCTCTGAGCTTCATCTCTGTAAAATGGACACGATTGTAACACCCTTTCAGGAGTTGTCCCCTGTCCCTTCTGGGGAGCACTAAGAACAGAGCTGGACCCCTCTATTCTCCTAGCCCCACTTCAAACCTAGTGAACTCCAGAAAAGTCCTGGCACCACAGAGATTCTGTCTGGGTGTCTGTTTTTGCATCGTGGCCCCCGCTCTGAAGCCCAGCTTGTGCAGAAGAATTATTCCCACCAAGGCGAGGGTGGCCGATGACTGCATCCAGCTTAGTGTGTTGTCCTAGCTGTGGCATTCCCCACTGCAAACTTGCGGACACTAGGATTTCAGGCAAGGAAACTGGATGGGGCGATATGAGGACATCTGGGAGAATGTCCCAGGGCCTCCTCAAGCTGTATTCCCGAGGCAGCGCCAGCTCATCTCATCTCAGAACAGATGCTCTGCACAGATGAGGGCTTTGCTCCACAGGAGAGGGGGGACACTCTTGATCTTCATTCATCTTAAGGTTGCTCTTGCTACTGGTGGAAGATCCAGGCCTGGAGGAAGGACAGTCGAGCTTGTGTTGAGTCACATAGCTGAGTTTCGGTGCCCCAGCTGCTCAGCCCCAGGCTCAGGGCTCCAGGTGGGAAACCATATCCTGGAAGATGGGGGCAGATGGGCGCACCATAGGGCACAGGGGCTGCAGGACACCAGTGGTCCAGAATGTGGCAGAGTTCGAGGGTCACAGCCGGCACACAGAGGCCAGCTCTAGATGTCCTGGGCTGAGCAGGGCCTTGTGGCTGGGAGAGTAGAGATGAGCTCTGCCACCTCAGGGATCGGGGGTGGGGGTCGGGGACTGGAGCCCTGAACTCCTGGCCCAGTTCCTTTCACACATAGGATGCTTTCTCTCCTTTTCATCGAGTATTAGAGAAAGTAGTATATTGAAAAAAGATTCCATTTCAGGGTTAAAAGCAAATTTTGAAACACCTTCCAGTAAGCCCTGCTGGACATTCTAGATGAGCAGGTCTCCTGTCTTTGCTTGTGATACCTCTGGTGACAGAGAGCTTTCTGCAGCACCCGGAACCCACTCTTTATGATCCCATGAAGTCTCCCTGTGGAGCACGTCCTGGGTGTGGGGGATGTATGGTGCCTTTCCCTCCACAGATTAGGCGCCCTTGTCCTTTCTGCATCTTTCCCTGGGTCCCTTCACACGCAGCCCCTGCCAACAGCCAGCCTTGGATCCCAGGGAGATGAGAGTCACGTAAGGCCACAGCAGCCCCTGTTCCTCTTCTAAATCCTCCAGCATCACCTTGGTTCACCTCAGTTCTCACTTTCGTGTTCACGGGAAAAAACATTTAGGAACATTTATTATTTCAGCTGTAACTGCCTTCACGTTTTGTGTATAAATATTTGTTCCTTTCCAATATTTCAGCCATGAGCTTCTGATTTTCTGATTCACATGTTATTCAAGAGCATATGTGGCAGCATGCCTAGAGAT